GATTTGGCACCAATTTTGTAGGCGCCAACCCAAATGCAAAATTTAGTCGCCACGGGGGATCGAACCATTAACAGTACCTTATGCTTCTTTTTTGGTACTGCTATAACCGTTCAGCGAAAATGAAACATGGTTTTGCGTTCCCTACATGCGTCCCTACAATATGCAAGAAACCGTTTTGAAAAAGCGTGGCTTGCCCTGAGAGACCTCCCTTGTAAGTCTTACAGGAGAAACCAGAGAGAGTGCTCTAATCAACTTCTATTCTCTCTGGAATTCGCTCTCCCTTAGGCTTAGTCCTTGTGGCTTTCATACGGGTTATCGCTGCAAAACAATTTGTTTGGCAATAGTAGTCCTCATTTTGCTGGGGCAGGGAGCTCCGCTACGGGTAGTCTCGTTTGACTGTGCAAGAAAGCAGTTAAACGAGCATGAAAATATAGAAGTTCATCGGTGCTTTGAAGATGTAAACGGGGTTTTTAACAGTGAGGACCACCCGGGAAAATCTCTTTAAACACAATATTTCCGAAGTTATCTCATATTTCAGTGTTTTTAACATTTCGTGACAACAGGTTTTGATCATCTTAAGCACCAAGGCATAATTTAGGATGACTGGTAAAGTTGCTGCCGCCGTCGCCGACAACGAGAAGGAATCTGAGCAAGTAAGCGGATCGATTTTCCCATTCTTTTCCTTGTAATCGTATCGTTTTATTTCAGTGTGATGAAACTATGGAAGAGAGTGACACCGCAGCCAATGCGCAAGAATCTGAGGACGTGTTTTCAAGTCATGGAGGAGATCCTCGATCCCTTGATCTGAATAGGTATGTGTTGAATATTATCGTTCTACCATAAGTATGTATGTATCAGCATGTTTTCAACAAAATGGTATAGCCTCTAAATACTTGTGGTCATATTTTACTCAATAAAAGTTGGTGGCGAATGCCTTCAGGCTGGTGTCAGAGTCCGCGATCCGTCGCACGAATCGCAAAAATCGCAAGTGCCCATTTGATTTGAAACACTGAATATGAAACAAGTAGAATCATGAACAGTCGTCATTCAACCATCACCATCAAGCAGAAATGGCGGCGGGATTGGAGAGCACCTTGCAGTATTGATCGGGCACTTGTGATTTCCGTCGATCCGTCGCGCGATTGTCGCGACGGATCACGAACTCTCATACCAGTCTTACAGCATCTCGGGCTGCGTTCATAGTTTGCGACTACGGAGATTAGGGTATAGTTTGCGAACCCCGGCGCTGCCCGCACTATTAGAGTACGTGCAAACACTGCAAATAATACCAGAAGAATTAGGATACTGGGAGAGTAGATATAGTGCGCTTAACAAAGATAGATGCGCGGCGTAACGGCTGCTTCCATAATTAAAAACACTGGACACCTGAGGTGCCACGGACCACATAGTTTGCGACGAATTAAACTAAAATATAAAAGCAATTACGCGAAAGTATAATTACGACATGACGATTGTAGATAGTGTAGAAATAGGAGGCTAGATGATGCAAATAGAACAGTGCCTAATAGATTAGATACATGTCCTTCGGAGTTGCATTGAAGACCACCTAAGAATAGATTGTTATCATTATCTTAAATTATTTTTTTATTATTTATTTTTAATTTTTTTTTATTTTTAATTAATTAATTAAAATAAAATTTATAAAAATAAAAAAAAATAAAAAAAAAAAAAAAAAAAAAAAAAAAAAAAAAAAAAAAAAAAAAAAAAACTAATCTCCCAAGTCTTCAAGTTTGTACAGTATTCTTCAAGAAGTCTTACTCCAATTTTCCTCTGCAATGTAGATCGTCTGCAACAGAGTTTTGATCAGCCAACACCACATACTCACAGAACGCCCACAACGGGTGTATCCCTTTAATCTGACACAATCCTGCGTACACCTTAACCTATTTCTCTGGTGTATGGGTGTATTAGGAATGGAAAAGGGATATGTTATTGTAACCACCCTTTTGGTATATGCCCTGCCTACCGCAGCTTAGTTTATGTGTTCCGTACTTCTTTCCCCTCGTCCAATCCATCCCAAACTTGCCACAACCTATCTAGGTGGTTATTTAGGCAGTGGCGAATTCGGGCTAACAAACAAACAAACACCAAATACACCTGTTTGGCGAATTTGCTTGACTAACTAGGGTATTTAGGTATCTAAGAAGTCTTCACAATTTTAACCTTATTTCTAGATGTCTGCTTCTTTCGAACTTGCCCTCCGTGTTTCTAAGTGATCCCTTCGATGAGTTCAGCAATACCATGCTCGACTGGATATCTCAGGATTTCAAGGTTTCGCGAGACGCAATGGAAAAGGTAGCTCTGAATTCTGTCTAGCAAAAAGTGGACGATTTCTTTTCTGCTCAATGCGTCACATTGTATTGTTCATCTCATTCGTTCAGATCGTTCGCATAGCGAAGCTTCAGACAGATGCTGAGAACCAGGTACGTTCTTTCGTACTTTGCATGAGCAGTTCATCTTTTTAATTGCCTTTCACATGGAATTTTAATGACAGGAAACATTTATTTAAGTGCGAGCACTCTTACACAAATTTGCTCAGGGAATGTTCGTATTAACATGAGAACTCACAATATGTTCCATGGGCTTTCGCCTGTGAACATTTCGCAAGCGTTGAAATTATGAATAGTATTCAGCGGTCTTCTTAGCTTTGGGAATTTAGTCTGCGACACATTGAAGTTGTCTGCAAAATTGGATGTACGCGGAGCAAAAGTTAAGTGGCAGAGCAATGCTTTTTCAAGCTAGCAGTTCGGTATGAGAATCTCTCACATCAGTCGCGAATCAGCTGAGGAAGATGATCTGATCTGCTCCTCGCGTGTGAACCCAAGCACTGTGCACTTGGCAGCACTTGTCTGCAGCCATGAGACCATTCCTAGTTTCCATTGGATCCTTTACAAATTCAGTTTGGCATTAACCTCGCAATCCTGACATAGTGTTAGGTAATTATTTTTATAAACACTACTTTTTCGGAGGTCTACTAAAGTAGTGCCGACGGAAAGTAAGGACACGTGCGTTAACTCTACAAAATAAAAGTTTGCTTCACACAGCAGGAAGTTGGCCTTTCTAAGTATATGAGCAAGAAAAAGGTGAGCCTAGTTATCATTTAAAAATCGCTGTCTTTGAATCGCACCAAATCCTCGACGACAAGCCTCCTAATCTGGAGAAAAAGCTGAATCGAAGAACTGTACGAGAATAAGAGAACTCATATACACTGAGTGCACTGTTTTTCTAGTTTCTAAGGTTGTACTAAACTAAAGAACAAGGTTAATTCCGAAATATGTTACAGCTTCCCTCTATCCAGTTCGCCAAAAAGGCGACTAGCACTTTATGTGGTTCTTTGCTCACAATGCTAGTGGACAATTTCTTGTATACAGCTAAGACTAGTCTCGAACATCAGATGCACGTCCTGAGAATAACTGCACAGCTTAATATGGGGAATATTTAGAAGAGCGTCACTTTTACGTGGCAGAATTACCCTGTGGTTTACACTTAAATCACTAGAGAGTGATGGCCAAAAAGCAGGTCATTTCGTGGGGATCGGCTTCAGTGGTAAAACACAGTAAGTCCAATCCGACACTGAAGGCCTCCCTTAAATTAAGCCTTTTTCAAGGCCGAAGTTCCTGAGCGAAAGTGATGCCACTGCTCTGATACCGCACGATGACAATGAGTGAAAGAGAGCAAGTGTCGCGTCTTTCTTTGAGCATGGTGGTTCAGTATTAGATCATAAAGAAATGCCTGTCAAACATGTTTCTTTCCTTTCCCTCATTCTACAAATTTGAAGAGGTAAGTATGGTCGTGTGAATTCGTAATTCATAAGCCATGTTGTATGCGCTGTCCTAAACCTAATGTCAACTGTAAAATCGCCTCATGAGTCAGTCTAGAACTTCAAAATGAATAGGGGGTTGAATGTTGAAGCAAGTACTGTCACTGATTTTGCTCAGCTTTGCTCAACTTCCTCGCTTGTATTCGAGAATATATCGTGCGAATGCCTAAAGACGAAGGAACACGACCTAAGCCAACCATCGGAATTGAAACAGAATGGATAGAAACATAACATGGGTGAAGAAGAAATATAAGAAAGGACGCCACGTTCAGGGCTGCAAAACGCGAGCCACGCATCGCTGCGATCCTATGGCAGGGTCGTTTTGTGAGCGCTGCTCACTCGTTCATAATTGAAGGGTATGTTGGGCGAAAGCAACGCAACTTCCCTGAATCTGAAAAAAGGATCTCTAAGTGTGAAGTCAATTTTCATGACCATCGATGCTTTATTTTGTGGAGTTCGTTCCTTCTAGCTTCGGTCACAATGCAACTGAAAGACAGTACAGCGTTTCTAATCACGTGCTCTATGATTTTGAACACATTGGATCTCAAAATAAGATCATGTCGAAATGTTAGCAGGATGATTAAGTGTCCTTTTCAAGGACCCCTTAGACTCAATACATGATAGAAGTGCAGCAATAAGACACACTAGTTCAAGACACAATTAATTGAATTTGAACAACTTCTAACAAATTAGACTTTACATTAATGTGGAACATATTGTTGAATCATGCCATCCACCAGCAAATAGGTAAGAAACCCTTATTTTGATGATCCTGCGCAGCGAAAAGAAAAGGAGCTAACGAATTTTTTCTATTATTATTAGAAAATAACGACGGTCAAGTAAGAACACCTCAAAGGGGAGCATTTGATCTGAAAGAGGTCCACCCTTATATTTGCAGTGCAGTGTTTCCAGTTACTGTTAATGCACAAGAGTGCTCTGTGCCGAGAAATAGTCATGCAGGATGATGAGTCGGCAAATGCTATGAATTGTAAACATGAGTCGGATTCGCATCATTGAGGAAACGCATATTGCCCTATTCAATATCTTGCTTTGTTTTTGAGCTGGATCTTTGAAAGCAAGCATTTCTAGTACTACGGGAAGAACGTGAAGTGTATGCCAACCGCAGTTGAACGCCAACGAGTTTTCGTTAATAATGGTGGCCAGCTGTGGTGAATCTGATGAACGTAGAACTATAAAGAACGTTCAGGACTTCCCAAAATTTTGATTAAGCACAGAGAGATGACCACTCGAGATTTTGGTCATTTCCAATACACCCACGATTGAATGTATCGGAACTAGACCACGCTCTTGATAACGAAATCATTCAAAAAAGAGTTTTCATCACTTCTAGATAAAAAGATCCGCAATTAAGCTGTCAACCTTTCTGTTCAATCAAAGACAGGAAGTTGTTCTTATTGAAATGAGAGATTCCATGAAGTGGAGAATTGTGGTATCTCTTTGTGAAAGTCGTCTTGTCACGTGTTGTCATCAGCTAAATGCAGTTCTGTTGACTTTCGTTGAATTTCATGTGGTGGTAAATTTGAAAAGTGCTAAGTATTTGTGCGTAGTGTTTCTTAAAAAGGAAAATCGATACTGTTGAACAATTCCTCCGCGAATTGCGACAGTCATCGATTATATGATTAATTTAGGATCTGGCTCTTCGTGCCATTATTTCCTTCAAATCTCGTGTGCATAAGCACCGTGTATTTGCGCAGAAGAACTTGGCTGCTGAATCGTCCATTAAGTTGGACGTGATAGACAGCATACCGCGTGAATTTGTTGAAGTGGAAGATGATTTGGAAATGGCTGATGAAGTTGATGGGGATGAAGAAGTTGCTGAGGAGCATGACGAGAGTAACGAACAAGACGAGCACGAACCAACGGTCAAGGTGAAGACCGAAGGTGAAGCGGTTACAGCCGGCACTGAAGAACCAGCTGCTGAAGGTAGCAAGGATGAACAGAATGGAGGTAGTCGTAGATAATTTTTTAAATAATTTTCTAACGTTTTAAAGAAAGGGACAAGCATAAGTATTTGCTGTCTAAGCCTTGTACCTCGTGTACGAACATTTGTGAGGTTAGGTGGTTGTGTACCCTCCCTGGGAAGCTTCCGTAGTCAAGGCGCGTTAGAGTTTTAGCCCTATGCTGTTAATTTGATTCGCATAGTTATATAGCGATAAACATTGCCCTTTGTCAGTTTATCATGCTCGGTTCCGTTTATGTCCATTTGAGTATGCAGATTGTAGATTTAGCTGAAAACGGTAGTGAACCTCCGAAACCGAAGAAAAAAGAGTATGTCGACGAGGACTTAGAAGCTCCTTTTGAAGTATGCTGGGAAGGTGCTCCCGAGTTCCAGTGGAAATGTGAGTTCATTCACCTTTATTTGGCTATTCGAAAAGAGGCTTCAAGGTCAATCTAAAAAAAGCGGCTCTCTGGTGGAGTTACTTGTGCTTTATTGAAGTTTACAGTGGACACGTCAGGTCCTTCTTGTGTTCTTGTTAAAAAAAAACCTCGTAAGACTGGTCACTCATAAAGAATATTTTGTTGGTGAAAATCTGTGGTTGAATCTTTCTCAATTTTCAGTTTACAACTTCACGCAAGCACTTTTGGTAGTTATACTACTATGACCTAGATTCCTCTTTTTATGGTTCAATCTATGGCCATTTCCAACCTTTAATGTCGTAGTACAAACTATTCCGTGTCTCTTTCAGTGTGTCCTACCCCTGCGGACACTCGTCGCCTAATCTTGGAGAACGTTTTCTGGGCCGACTTACATAACGTGTTCATCTATCGTGTAATGCTGAAAGCGGAAACTGTTGATATCAGTTTTCCCATGCGTTTCAACATAGAAGGGTCGAAGCAGATGTATGGGTACGTTACTATTTCGTGTTCCCTAGATTACCATATAGTTGACGAAGAAGAAATTGGAGTTGAGAGTTTGGAGTGATCCTCGTTGCGAAACGTGCGGGAATGCTATCACTAAATATGCTTTCTGATACTGCTTTTAGGAGGACCCCATCGTTGCTCAGTTATAGTTTGCTTTTAAAGGCCTCTCATAGGTTGATCAGTGGAATTAGACACCCTGTGGGCAGAAAATTGGAAAGTGGAAAATTTCTAGTAAAAGATGTCAAACTTTTCAAGAAGCAATTCGACTAATCTAGACAATAACTTTTTCATCAATGAGTTACCCAAATATAGAGGGGAAAATCGGCGCCAAACAAACCTCCTTCATCGGTTTTAGTGTTTCACTCTTCTCACTAGAATGGGTTGTCATTATAGGGAATGACCACGTTGACCTGAGATCTTTGCTAGCAACCAATATCACTAGTTTTCTGTCCAATAGATTTTGTGCAAGTTATCGAGCAAATTAAGGAAGGTGACGATGACGTTCCAATGGAGTATGCAAATTATGCATGAGGCTATGCGCCATCTCATCTATGTGCGTTGTCCTCTGGGTCGCCGTATTAAGATATTTCTTCCTCAAAGTACGTTTTACTTCCGCGCTTTTTTGTTTGAGCATCCACCCTAGCCTGTTTCTTCAGCTACGAGTGCAATGAAGCTGAAGGAAGAGTTCGAAGGTAAACTTGGGCGTACTATCGAACCCACGCGAAGGATGCACCAATTGGTGGTAAAAGTTCTCCCAGAGAACTACGAGGTTTGCTCTTCTCTAATTGTCATGAGAAAAAAAAGGAAGAGAAATAATTGGATTTGGTCCGTTACCTCTAATGGTGGCTTGTTATTGGCTCACCTTTTTTCAAGCCATTGATCTTGTCTGTTCGGTTCCCTTTATTTTACAATTAAGTTCCTTATTTACGTATTTGTTTTGTTGTTTGCTTACTTCATCTTCTATTCTGTGTGTTCCCACCCTTTTTCATTTCGTGTTTTTTGCATACATCTCAAGTTGCTCATTTCAGCTTACCTTGGAAGCCGCCAAGGAAATGTTTGCGCCTCTCGAACCAGTCGAGGTTGAGAACGTGAAGGATGACGCTGAGTGAGTAGCCACAGTCTTGTTATACAACCGCATCTCTTGGAAAAGCTTCCTGTTCCTTTTTCATGATTAGAATATTAGGATTCTGAACATCTCTAGATTTACTTGTCTTTCGAATGCGAGGTCCACAGTTGTGCCTGATTTCCAACGGAAAACGACTTTGCAAGGCTTCAATATGTTTTTTTTTTCAGTCAACCTTGTGCAATTGTTACAATGGCGAGCGCTGAAGATACTATCAAAGCGCATTCATCGACCTATTTTGTGACGGTGAAAAGAGAGGAAGAGAAAGATGTGAAATGTCATGTATTTCTTCGTGGTGGTATGTGAGCTATAAATTTCCGAGAGCTGAGGGCTGTGTGAATTTCTTTTCTGTTTAGTCGAAGCACATTTTGGATCGTTGCTAACCCGTTGGGACAAGAAGAAGTCAGACCCTGGAAAGAAATCTTGTAAGTTTCAAACACAATTATTCCCTTTCCTTCAAATGTCACATTATTTTGTTTATAGCGAAACGCCCTGCTTCGGACAAAGCTACTTCAAGTGCAGTCAAGAAGCCACGTGGCGCTTCCATTCGCAGTGTTGGCCCTCGAGGTTCCTCACGTGGAACTCCACGTGGTGGACGCCCACCTTACTCTGGAAGAGGCGGCAGAGGTTAGACGTTTCATGCTCTTGGCATTGTTCTTGCTTTTCGGGCACTGATCTTTATCCATACCGATTATTATTGTGGCAACCAGTGCATCACATTGAAGTCAGGGAAAATGCCCTCCTCTTTCCCCAGCTTGCATCCCACTAAGCGTTTCATCTTTTTGAGAATTTTTAGAGAAGTGTAGAGCCTTGATGCTCAGAAATCTCAGACTAAGATGACGATCAGTGTGGTGTAGAGGAAATGGAAATCGGCACACTGTAAGTAGAGACTGTGCCCCCGAAAAAACGGAAAGTAGTTCTCGAGGGAAAGAATAGGCCAAAGACGACGGTACTAATCTGTTTGTCCCTCTGGACTCTAACCCCTGCCCACCCTCCGACTGCCCTAGCGGCTATTCTCTCGCCAGTCAACTTTAGCCCTTTTGGCAAAAAAAGCAGAGCAATAC